GAGGTATGCCCATTCATTATGATTAGAAGTGGAAGTCTGCTTTGATTTTTACTGAAGACCATAAGCAGCAGTGATTATGTAAATTCTGTTTCTACATTTGCCATTACTGTTGAGAACATTCATACATTGTTCAATATCCCCTGTACAATACAACACTGCAGAAATGAGTTATATAATAATTCCTTTTTCTTTCTTTTGTTTTTTGCCTTGTATGCATGGAAAAAATCAGTCAAGATTTGTACTAGATCATCACACTTTTGTTGGCCTGGATGTTTGCATTCTGGCTTTCTACTTAATCTTTTTTTCCTTTTTTTTTGACCACACTGTGCGACTTGTGGGATGTGGGATCTTAGTTCCCCGACCAGATATTGAACCCGGCCCATCAGCAGTGAGAGCATGGAGACCTAACCACTGGGCAGCCAGGGAATTCCCTATTCCTATTCTGTTAATCTTTTTGTAAAAGCAATAGCCTATACCCCTGTAGCACATTTTTTTTTCTTTCCTTCCCTCTTCATTCCCTCCCCTGTATTAGGTAGTTTTTTGATTGCATTGAATAAAGACATTGTGATTGCCTTTAAGTAACTGAGTTTAAGGATTTACAGGAAAAGATGAAAATTAGAGGCTCAGCTACATAGCTTGGCCTCATAATAAAAAGAATCAACCATAGAGTCAGGCCCCTTCAGAAATGGATGCCTTTGTTTCCTTTTCAATAGGTTTTCCCTGCTGAGTTAGTGATTCTGGTACTTCTAATCTTATCTATCTCTATGACTAGTGCTTCTGCTGCTCTCTATTAGCTATCTCAAGTGTCTGTCCTCTCCTAGAGCCCTACCTCTGTGTGCTGTTCTCTCTCTTGTTCTCATTATTAAAGCTCACATTCACATTCCAAGGGAGAGTATCTGATTGATTCACTTAATGACCTGTTGGTGCCAGGCCAGATCTTAGGTCATTAGCCAGCAGAGAGAGTCTCTGTTCTTGGTCATGTGGTACAAAGTATGGTGATGTATAAGACCTGTCAGAAGGGCCATTGGCATAGCAAGCATTCAGCATTATTATTACTCCTCCTTTATAACAGCTGCATATTTATAGATTGTTTCGGTGAACCGCTGATCTCATCTCTGAAATGTTGAGGTTTTTTCCTCCTAATTTCATTCTTAGATGAATTTCATTCTTAGCCACAAAACAAAGGACAGTCTTCACCACCTTTTAGCCACAACTTAAAATAAACCCATCGTACTGATTGTTGGTCCAAGAAAGCCCATCTGTTGGAAACTATGAAAAGAGAAAATTTAAATGTTTCTATTCTTGTTAGCATCTCTAAATTTGGAGGAAGAAGAGATTGAAGCTATGAGCTGAAATAAGGTTTTTGGATTAATAGCCCCACATGGGTTTGAATCCTGGCTTTCCCATTTACTAGATGATAGATGAGTATCTTTTCTAAGCTTCAGTTTATTCATGAATAAAATGGAGATAATGGTATTTGCCTCATGTGGTTGTTAGGATTAAGTGATAAGATACATGGAAAGCAGTTAGCAAAGGGCCTGGCACATAATAAATGCTTGATAAATATTAGCTCCCATTATCTCTAGATCATTAACCCTTATTAATAATAAAGGTTACCCTGGTACATCAGTTAAGTTCTTAGTGCTAATGAAAACTAACATTTCTTGGTACATAAGCCGAGACAATAGTTATTGAGCCTTTGTTTACTCAGCGCTGTGCTGAGGTACCAACTGGATATACAAGACATATTGCAATGTGATTCTTGCTTTCTAATCCCCACAGTGAAATGTCAGTCCTAGAAAATTTTTCAGGAAACTCAACCCTATGATGGTATTCTGTTATTGGAATTTGGGCTCTGTCACTAGCTGTGTAACCTTGGACCAATTACTTCTCTGTGCCTCTTCATCTGTAAATTGGGGGAAATACCTCATAGGATTATTGTAAGGAATAAATATGTTAATATATGTAAAGCACATAGGATACTGCCTGATACATGGTAAATGCTGTATGTAAGTTGCTGCTGCTAGATTATGACGCCTAGCAGTTGAATACTTGAAGCCTCATTGGGCCTAATTGATCAGTCTTTTTCTTCTTTTAGTTTAAAGTGAATAGGTTTCTTTGTAGGAGGTTTATAGGTATATCTTTAGTCTCCATCGTCAGGACAGTTTTATAGAGTCTACGTGGTAAGAGATGAGTAAGCTGAAGGACATGGTCTACAGATAATCTTGTCCCATTTGAGACTGGACACCAGACTTTCCATATCTTGCCAGCCCTCCTTTGGTGATGCTTTGGCAAGAAAAATGTATCTTGAAATTCTTGGAAAGCTGATTTCTCACCATTGAAATGTCCTTTTTGTGGGGGCTAGAGGGAGGGGGATGCTAGTGATATGAAAGTATGGTAAAGGAAAAGCAATTTGAGTAGAGACCTTTGATTTTAGCTTAACAAATCAAACAGGCAAGGGATTTTCTAATCAAAAGCTACTTCTCTCTTAAAGGGAAAACTCATTTCTTTTTTTTTTTTTTTTTTTTTTGTGGTACGCGGGCCTCTCACTGTTGTGGCCTCTCCCGCTGCGGAGCACAGGCTCCGGACGCGCAGGCTCAGCGGCCATGGCTCACGGGCCCAGCCGCTCCGCAGCATGTGGGATCTTCCCGCACCAAGGCACGAACCCGTGTCCCCTGCATCGGCAGGCGGACTTTCAACTACTGCACCACCAGGGAAGCCCAGGAAAACCCATTTCTGATTTGTATTTCCTTTTCAAGAAGTGAGATAATATGTTTTATTTCCATATTAGTGAGATTGAGCATCTTTTCATTACGTTTATTGATTACTTGTATTAGTTTTGAGAATTACCTATTCATGTCCTTGACCTCTTTTGTTTTGTTTGATGAGGAGACTTATCTTTGCAGAATAAGGACAGTAAACCCTTGCAAATACGTTTCAGGTACATTTTTCATTTTGTCAGTTGTCTTCTTTTACCCTTGGTTGTGCTTTTTTATTTTAACTGCATAGAAACATTTAATGTAATGAATCTATAAATTTTTGCTGAAAAGTATCATCTCATTATGGTTAGAGAATTTCTGCTGAGTGTTATAAAGCATGTCATAGTTTATATGTAGACTGATCCACTTAATAAGCATTTTTTCCTTATAAATAGGTGATTGATTGTCACAGGCTTTGAAGAGTCTTTGCAAACTAACATAGTCCCGAGGCTGTAACACCATAATAATAATAGCTACCACTTACTGCACACTGCCTGAGTGCCAGAAGATATGCTAGGTCTTTTATGTACTATATCCCTAATATTTAAGTTCAAGCAAAATATTATTATTGTCCACATTTCATAGATAAGAGGAATGATTTACCCAGGGTTACAGAGCTAGTTAGTGGCTGGATTGGAATTTTAACTCAAGTCTGCCTAAACTCCAAAGTATATACTTTTTCTACAGAGTTGGGCTTCTTGAGGCTTCAAATAAATTATACTGGTCCTAAAAGTTAAGTAAATATCTTCTACCAGAACATGAAAAGATGGTCTGTTGCCTAGTTTGACAGCTCTTGGTTCCTGAGAGCAGGGTAGATACGATAATGAGAAGTATGTAAACCAGCTGAAAGAAGGGTCTCCACTGTCTAGGGCAGAGGTTTTCAAAATGTGGTTCCCAGACCAGCAGCAGCAGTAGCATCACTTGGGCATTTGTTACAAAAGCAAATTCCCATGTCCCACTCCAGACCTACAGAATCAGAAACTGGGGTTGGGGCCCAGCAACCTGTTTTATATTTGCAGCTGATTATGATGCATGTTAAAATTTGAGAGCCACTGGTCTAGGGGAATTATTCTCTCTAACCATAATTTTTGGCTTTGTGAGCTTCAGCCAAATTCTCAGCCCTTAAGTGCAAAATAAGCATTATCAAATAGTGGCAAAAGCATGGAATCTAAAAAGAGCCAGTTTTTAGTCCAGTTTAATAATCATTTAAGGCAAGTTCACCTCCCTGAGCCATAGTTTCCCATCTCTAAAATGATTTTAATAAAAATCTATCTCCCGGGCTTCCCTGGTGGCGCAGTGGTTGAGAGTCTGCCTGCCGATGCAGGGGACACGGGTTCGTGCCCTGGTCTGGGAAGATCCCACATGCCGCGGAGCGGCTGGGCCCATGAGCCATGGCCGCTGAGCCTGCGCGTCCGGAGCCTGTGCTCCGCAGCAGGAGAGGCCACAACAGTGAGAGGCCCGTGTACCGCAAAAAAAAAAAAAAAAAAATCTATCTCCCTACAAGATATTTTTTTCAGAATTAGTAAGATAACATGTATAGTGCCTAGCACCTTGCCTGGCTCCCAGGTGTTTGAGAAATTGCCTCCAGTTATTTTTCTTGCTAAGCAAAAAGCCCCTACCCGCCTTCTATTCTCAACTTCTCTTGTTTCTTGAATGTATTTTGCTGTCTTGTGTCTCTGGGCCTTTATATTAGCTATTTCTACTGGATATCCCTACCTCCCACCCCTCCCACTAACGTCTATACATCCTTTAGATCCCTGCTTATAATTTACTTCCCCTGGAGGGGACTTTCTCTAACCCCCACTCCCCAGTCTCTGTACTCATAGCAGCATGTATTTCTCCTGTCACTACATATCAGAGTTTTTGGAAACTGGTTTTTGCCCAGTTTTGCAAAGTTTTTGCCCGTCTTCTGTATAAACTTCATTGGGCAGGTCCAGTGTCTTGTCTGTACCATATTCTAGGACCCAGTAAAGTTTCTCACACATTATAGGAGCTAATAAATTAATGTTGAATGAATGAATGGTGGCTGTCATTATTGCTGCTTCTTCATCATCATATCATCCAAGAGCAAGCTCTCTTCTCTGGCTTATAGTTTCTGTGCTGACTGCTTGTGATAATCATAAATAGATAGTATTAGGACCAGTGCCTGTTTTCTCCTTCCCTGAAAGTACATGTTTTGACCTAGGCTGACACGGTAGTTCACTGAGCTCCTTCCTAACCACTGATCTCTCTGTATCACAGGTACCTTGGGGGAGCTGTGTGCCTTGATGGGTCAAGTTCATCACATGCAGAACCCAAAATGGCAGCATCCTTCGGACCTCACCAGGCGGTGAGTGGGTGTTTAGAAGAAGGAAGAAAAGGGTAGAATTTTGCTACAGGAGAAATGTGGTAGGGCTTTGGTAGGGCTGTAATTATTGTTTAATTCCAGAGGTAGAAAAAGAAGTGATATAGTATAATAGAATAAGAATTGGACTGAAATTCAGGAAACCTGGGATCTAATACTGGCTTTGCACTTTTTAACTAGCTATGTGATTTTGATCAAATCACTTCATTTCTCTGGTCCTCACAACAGTAAAATTAAGATATTGGACTAATTGATGTCAAAGAGCCTTTCTAGTCCTGAAATCTTCTGGTTTCTTGATGTAGTGTGGTTTTACAGATTTATTCAGTTACTTGATCCAATTATTCAGAGACCTTGGAGTCATCTGTGATTCCTTTCTCTCTTACTCCATAGTCAGTGCATTAGCAAATTCTATAAGCTCTACGTATAATATATCCAAAACCTGATCATTTCTCAATCATTTTCACTTGGATTGTTGCAAGTCTCCTAAATGGTCTCCCTACTTCTGCCCTTTCCTGTCTACTGTTCTCAACTCAAGCAGCCAGAGAAATTCTTTTAAAGCATAAGTCAGATTCTCTCTTCTTTGCACAGAGTTTTCCAGTGGCTTCCCATCTCCATGATCACAAGTGCCTATATGTTTTGGTCTAGGCTGACTTGGTTAGCTCACCACCCTCATCTCCTCTACTATTCACTTTGCTCACTCTGCTCTAGTCACACTGGATTCCTTGCTATTTCTGTTTTTCATACTGTTTATTTATTTATTTATTTTTGGCTGCATTGGGTCTTCGTTGCTGTGCGCGGGCTTTCTCTAGTTGCAGTGAGCGGGGGCTACTCTTCATTGCGGTGCTTGGGCTTCTCATTGCTGTGGCTTCTCTTGTCATGGTGCACAGGCTCTAGGCGCACGGGCTTCAGTAGTTGTGGCTCACGGGCTCTAGAGCGCAGGCTCAATAGTTGTGGTGCACAGGCTTAGTTGCTCTGCAGCATGTGGGATCTTCCTGGACCAGGGATCGAACCGGTGTCCCCTGCATTGGCAGGTGGATTCTTAACCACTGCGCCACCAGGGAAGTCTCTCCTTGCTATTTTTCAAGTATGTCAGACGTACTCCCACATCAGGGCCTTTAAACTTAGTGTTTTCTTTATAGTTGCCAAAATGACAGCAGTACTCGGAAAGGCAGTGTTGTGTAATAGTTATTAAATTCTGCAGTCAGATGTGAATTCAAATCCACGCTCTTCTACTTACTCCACTCTACGACCTTGGGGAAGTTATTTTACCTGAGGCTTAGTTTCCTATCCTGTATAAGGAGTTAATGAGAGTACTTTTCTGGTAGGATTGTCATTAGGATTAAATGGTGTGAGATGTTTAAAGAATTCAGCAAGTATTTGCATATAGGGCTAGATAAATACCAAGTACTGTTAAAATTATTTTCAACCTGGGCTATTCCCCATAATCACCTATGGAGATGTCTAAAAATACAGATGTCCAGGGCTTGACTCAAGGGATTCTAAGTTATTAAGTCTAAGGGTGGAGAGAGGGGCCAAGAATCTATATCTTTACATTAAAGCTTCCCAGGTGGTTATTAGGACAAGCTGGAGTTGAGAATGGGGTGAAATTATCTCAGAGGGTCCTGCTCAGAACCCCAGCCCAGTACACAACTAAAGGAGGCTCTCAAGAAACTTTGAGTCTGTTCAGTTTCTAAACTTGCAGTGTGATTCTCACGTGATGCTTACCTTCTCTGGGAATTTTATTCTAATTTTAACTGCTGTGTCCTGAGCAACCTTGAGCTGTGTCAGACAGTGAAGTCCTGTTGGAGGTACAGGTCTGATGCAAGCAATAAAATATAGATCCTGTTCTAAATGTTTCCAGAGGGAGAAAATGGGTTTTTCCTGCTTAAACATTATTATACATTATACATTGGGTTTTCTTAGAACATTCATGTATATGGACCATATCACCATAATACCTGTATGGGAATTAGGTGGCTTTGGAAATTGGAAGGAAATAGAACTTATAGTGTGTCTTTCATATAAGGAAAATAATATAAAATTTCTAAAATTATGAGAATCGAAATATAAAATGAATATCCAATTTCCAAAAGTAACAGTATTCTTTAAATAGTTTTCTTGGCCTTTTTTGTATACAAATAACCATTCCAGCTGAAACCCTCATCTGTCCTCTTTTTATTTTCCCTCTCTGCTGATAGAAACTACGCCCGGTTCCGACAGAAGTCTCTGCAAAGATACAGTCTGACTCAGTGGGTTGACCAGAACATGCGAAGCCACCATCGGTTCCAGCGTCTACCAGATTTCCCGTACAGTCCATTTGTCTCCTCCCATCAGCAGTGAAGGTCCCTATCCAGGGTCCTGTCCAGAGCAGCGTCTCATCTTCTGCTGTTTTGTGCTTTGTAGATTTTGAAATTTATTTTTCACAACATTTTAATTTAAAGAACTCGTCACCTTTTGGAAATGCCCATTGCTGACTTGAAATTTTTTGTATAAGGTCCTTCCTGTTTATGTGTGTGTATGCATTTAAGCAGTGTTGAGTTGATAATAGTTTTAATTTTTTAATTTAAATTGAAGGTGGCTGCCGCCTGAAAGCCGGCATTAAGTCAAAACACCCAGGATCAAGCAAAACACCCACCTCTATGCAGAGGTGAAGTCTACTTCTGGTGCCCAAAAGAAATCATCTTTTAATCTCCTATGAGGAAGAGATTCTTTATCAGGCTGCAAGCCAGTGTTAATTATTGCTGATGACTTATAAATGGATACAAGTCACTTTTAACAACGCCTCTTACCTTTTTTATTTGAATCTCCGAATACCTGTCAGTATTTTAAAGTTGGTAATCCAGGACATCTGAAGTAGTTGAAAGGACAAATTAGAAGTGTAAATCTTTTCTTCTTTTTGTACCTACTAGCTGCCTTTATTTTTTGGCTTTTTTTTTTCATTCTTCATTAAATTTATTTTGCACAATAGTGTTTACAAATCTTGTACATCTTAACTCTAACAGAAGACTGGTGACTAACAACCCCTGTTGATTTGTGATCTTGTGACTGTCTGCCTTCTCTGCCTTTCTTCAAGGATATTCCTTCTTTTTTCCCCAGTGAACTTAGGGCTCTACTGGCATATTCCTGTATCCTGTTAGACATAGATATGCCTCTTAAGAACAGCCTTACTGTGCTTTTTATTGAAGAGCCACCCACCCAGAGTCTTGACTCTAGGACAGGCCAGAAAGCAGTGCTATTGAGAGGTGTCAGTTGGTCTTCAGTTTCATCTGCTGAACTCCAGTTCAAGTATGAGTTGACGTGTTAGTGAGCTTCCATCCTGTGGGAGAGACTTTGGAGAAGCTGTCTTTTGTCTCCATTATTAGTTAATAAGAGGTGCCTTTTGATCCAGGATCTCCTTACTTGGTCAAACCTCTGATGTACAGTTTTACAAAACTACTAAAGTGAATCTAAAATAGTTTTGATTAAGCCTGTGCACAAAGCGTTACCGGATCTTAAGGGTAATGCTATATGCAGCTATCTTAATGGATGTCTTAGTAGTTTGTTATTCTCTTTACAGACAGCTCTAGACATCTATTGGGAGATTTTGCAGTCTGGCATTTGTGCTGCTGTTCACTCTGTGTGACGGTTGTACCTAGTTGCTATAGCACACAGCCTGTGATACTGGGCTCATTGCCTCTGTCTGGTTTTGTTGTTCCATCAGCCCCATCTTTGTATGCAAGTAACCCATCTTAAACATCCTACCCTGCTTTAGAAACTGATTTGGGAGAAACTTGGTCATAGTTACCAATAAACTTAGATGGATATCCCTAAGTGTTAACTATTTCTATCCAGTCAAGGATTCTCTTTTCCTTCGACATCTGGTTTAGAGTCTGGGACCAAAATGCAAAGGAGAAGTTCTGTTCAAAGGCAAGAGTCAAAATCTGTTATTTCAGTTGGCATTTCCTATATCAGTCACTTCTCCAGGTTTCCGTAAATTAGTATGATGGAGTGGGACAAACATCCACCTTTGGAACTATAGCATAGTTAGAATTAATTGTTGCTGGAATAATTAGCATTGCAGCTGTCTTGTTCCCCACAGATAGCCAAGGAGTAAAGGGACAGCCTTTTGCTTAGGCAAAAGTCTAAGACTCATGTTCCTGCCTCCCTGGTACAGGAGGGTTTAAGACTGATGTGTAATGGGAGCATCGCCTTTGCCAAATCAAATGAGTGATGGGTTAACGAGAAAATGTGACAATCACATTTCCTCTTTGCTCAGATAATTCTGTTTTTCAAGCTTTAGCAGCTTAATTAAATCTGTTGGACTGGGGGAGGAGAGAACTGTTCCCTAGCGGTTAACATGGTATTCTTTAAGAAGAAAAACAAAGCCAAAGAAAACTCATTATCAGGCATGTTCGCCTTAAAGACGGTAGTGGGTAGAATCTGGAGTTTTAATCTGTTTTTAAAAGCTACATATCTCACATTTAGTGTTGGCCTCTAAGTCTAATTTTCGTGTAGAATTCTTGCCGTGTTTTATTTACATAAGCGTTGTGTGCATTTAACTGCCTACCTAGCTTTCTTTATCTGTGATGACATTCTCGCCACGGGGGTCTTGACAATGCAGAGTAGGAATGTGCTGTTTACATAGTTTACTTGTATATAAAGAGCCTGAAATAACCTTAGTTTTGCATCTAATGCAGGCCCCAGTTTACTTTGGTTGTTGTCAGGATCAATTATGAAAGTGAAGTTTGGTGCCTCCTCTTTATCATGTATTTCTCCTTGTAGCAGTTGTATTTAATGTCATTGCAAAGAAATAAAAGTTCTTGTCGGTGGCTTATGTACCGTGGCCGTCTATTGCGGGCTCTGAAGGAGGGCTTCTTCCTTCTTTGTGCAGGTAGGTTAGTGGGGTGTGGGAGGGGCGGCAGTTAGTAGAATGTGGTACCGGGGAGGCGAGGGTGTGTGCTCCCTGTTCTTTTGAGGGTAAATTACAGTGTTAAGAAAGGCGTTCCAGCAGTTAAGAAATGTTGAAATTGATTGGAATTAGCAGCTACATATAGTGCACATCAGGAGCGTGACATAGGGAGAGCCTTAAATATCACTGTGCTGCTGTTTTTGCAGAGGGGGAAAATGGCTCAGCCCCATCACACAGACACTGCCTCGCATTCCTTCCTGTGGCTGATGGCTGACCCCTGTGTCTCTCTGCCTCTCCAGAGCCAGCACTGATAAGGAAGAAACTGAGCTACCTGGGGCATTCTCCCTTTGAAAGGGATGTGAGAAACCAGAATTGATAGTTGTTCTTAACCCAACTTCTCCAGAAATTGTTCCTAGAACCTGGGGTGAAGGTTGGATAAGTGTGGGTAGATGTGGGAGACAGCGTTAGATCACTTTTGTGAACCGAAGCTTCTTAGACTCACCCCAGGAGCAAAGATGAAAAGGAAGGCAGTAAGAACTTGTCACCTGTATTAGCCAATGCTTTACAGTCTCAGCTTGTGCTGAGACATTAAGTAGCAACATACTTGGATAGGCTTCTCTGTCCTGCTGTCCTGTAAGTTTTGTGGGGTTTTTTTGCGGTACGCGGGCCTCTCACTTTTGTGGCCTCTCCCTTTGCGGGGCACAGGCTCCGGACGCGCAGGCTCAGCGGCCATGGCTCACGAGCCCAGCGGCTCCGCGGCATGTGGGACCCTCCCAGACCAGGGCACGAACCCGTGTCCCCTGCATCGGCAGGCGGACTCTCAACCACTGCGCCACCAGGGAAGCCCTGTCCTGTAAGTTTTTAACATGTAGCCTACAGTCCAGGTGAAAGCCTCAATATAAATTTTCTAAATACTCAGCTGTTTAATATTCTTGTCTGAATCCGAGGGTCCCTTGACCTATACATACACATATCCATTTTGTCCTCTCAGGTGTAGGTGTTCCTTTGTCCAGTAATTGCTTATTTCCTTTTTAGCAATGTGTTATTGTAGGCCTCAAAGGTTTCAGAGACTAGGCTGGATTCTCTGAGCTGGTGGCGTCCTTTACCCTCAGTTCGTTTTATGTTGTGGAGAAGTGAGGAGGAGGAGAAATGGACCTTCTCTAAAAGCTCATTCTCTAAACAGCCTGTTGTGAACTTTTACGGGAAGAAAAAGTCCCAACCACCTAAAACGAGAAAGCAGAGTTTCCTGCTTTTCTAAGAGAAAACAATTATTCCTAAGCTGATTCTAGGGTATGCTTGTTTTGTAGGCCAGAGCACCTGTCAGGAAAAAAATGTCCACTTGTCACAGGAAGTATCAACTGGCCAACGGTGGAATTCCTTAATTAAAAGCTCCCGCCCTGTCACTCCTCCCCACCTGTCTTCCCCCTATGACAACTGGAACATGCCACAGACAGAAAAATCTGACCCAGCACCCATTGGGAAGCGGTGGAATGTAATCTTTTGGACAACCTTTAAAGCCATCTAGTCCTGAAATGCTGTATCACTAAGGAATTATTTGTATACAAAGATCTCCTTCAATTCGGCTTCAAATAACATTTGAGGGTTTGAGAGTATTGTACCGATGGAGCTTGGGGGGTGGGGTGTCCCATTTACAAAAGCATTTTGTTCTTGGAGGCTACTTTTTAAAAGCAAAATCCAAAATCTGTCAAATAGGTTTATAGAGGGTGAGAAAGTAGAAGTCTGAAACATTACGTGACTGGGGTGGTGAGATGTTAAATATTTCTGTAAAGGGTTTAACTAGAGATCATACAAGTGGGTTCGAAAGGAGGCCTACGCTGAAAAGCTGGGGTTGAGGGGACGACTGGAGAGAGGAAAGACTCGTGCCTCATAGAAACACCAGTCCTCCTTCCTTTCTGTAGACCCCGGGGTCTGTCTCCTGTCCCATAAGGAAACCCTTTGGCTCCTACTCTAGGTGGTGGGTGGGGTCTGGGAATCCTCTGTTCTTACCCCTTGGTTTTTGACAGATAAGGAGCCCAGGGCCCCATCAGAGAAGTAACTGGCCTGAGGGTCTCCTGCCTCAGTCCACCGTTCCTCCCACAGACCTGCTGTGGTCTTGCAGGGCAGGTCTCTCAGTCTCAGACAACTTGCCTGAGCCCTTCCCAAGCTGTGGGGAATCTGCAGATCTAAGTGAGGGGTGAAGAAAGGACCACAGCCCAAGTCACAGCCGTAGGCTTGCACTGTGTCACTAGTTGATTCGGGAAGAGTTCAGTTGTAGAACTTGGGGGTTTAGGGAGGTGATTAAAGGGAACGGTGTTTAGTGAGGCGTGTTGTTCACTCCACTCCCCTCATTCCCTAAGATGATGTGCTACAGGCACAGATAAGGTAAAGACAGCAAACTCCCATTAGCGGCACTCCCTGGACCCCACTGACAGCTGTTTATACCTGATGCTGACTTGGAGTTTCTCCATCATCTGGCACTAAACAGGCACAGAGGACCTGGGAAGTACCTCTCTGAGGTTTGGCTGGCAGTTCTGCGTGCTAATCGATTACCCACTCTCCCACCCAGCCTGTAAGACCTGCTCCCCTCTGCTCTCAGAACCTTCCAGAACAGCCTACCCTAAGCCCCACTCACCTGACATTTCCTAAGCTCCTCCCGGCTCTGGACAGAAATGTTCAAGGTGCCCCATTTACTGGTTTGCTCATTGGCTAATGGCATCATTCCTCTACCTTTCAGCCTGCTGCGGGATCAGAGTGATGTTCCTTTAACATCCCCGAACAGCATGCTGTGAATCCTGAGCTGCAGCAGGCAGCTTCTGCAGTCCCGCTTTACTTCCCCTTCATGCTGGGAGAAGCAGGACTGCATTCCCTTTGGCCAGGAAAAGCACCAACCCTATCCAGAGGGGAAAACCCTTTGTTTTAAAAACTGAGCTCCAGCCTGCATACCTATGCGGTGAGGCAGCCCAAGCTCGGTTTTGGGGGGGGGGGGGGGGCTCAGTAATGGGATGATAGAGCAACTATTTTCTCCTCTTACACGTGCACCCCCATCTGTTAGAGATTTCCCTTCCAACTCCAGCTTGGCTGGCAGGCTTGTCCCTAAGAAGCTGCAGGCCAAAATGGAGAGAACTGACTCCCTCCTCCACACGTCCTGATTTGCTGCCAACTGCCAGAAAAAGAGGGCAACACTTGGGCATTTACCAGAAGACGAGGATGTGCCTTTTCATATGTCTTTTTATTTTACATTTAAAAAGTGGTTATTGCTCTAACTGGATCAGAGGTAAGGACCTCTCCCCTAAGGAGCCTTGGCCTTGCAGCCCCATTCAGCAGGGATGGAAGTCACAAGACAATGAGTGGAGCCTCATGCCCTCCCATGAGGAAGCCCTTAGTGTTGCTGACATCTGCCTTTCACCCTGTCTCTCCTCCCTCTCTGTGCTCCACACTCGGGCAAAGCAGAGTGGCAGCTGCCCCAGCCCCGAGAGCTCTTGTAGACCGCAAAGCAGGGGCGGTCACTGGGGAATGGCTTTCAGCTCTCTGGCTTGGGGGTCACCGCGCTTCTCATTCAGTTCAGCAGGTACTCACTGGGCGCCGACTGCGTGCCAGGCTTGTGCCAAGCGCAGTCGCCCACACTGTCGTCCTTAGCCACGAATGGAAGACGCAGAGGTCCGTCTCTTCCTATGCAGGCATTCAGCAGCCGCAACTTGTCAGTCCTAGGGAAGGATCTGCCTTCCTTAGCAAGCACCATTTGTTTTTTAAACCAGAAAGAGGCAGTGGAGGGAGAGACCTGTCACCTCACACCACTCAGGCTCTAGGGAAGGACATGAGGACCCTGGGTAGCTTTCACGAACCCTGGATGAGATGGCAAGATATGGAGACCCCAGAGGTCAGGACTGCTCTGACTGTCCATGGTGAATGGCTCGGGCCCGCCTCCAGCAGCGTCCACCCCAGAGGGGGTGATTTAGCAGCCCCCAGGTTGTCCCAGGTGGATGCACCTTTTCAGTTGTGCAAGCCAGCACTGTTGCAACTCCAAGAGACTTTTCCTAAAGAAATGGGGCCAGTACCTTCCAGGTCTCTTTCCCACTTTGTCTCATTCAGACCCCAGACTGATGATCTTACAGTCAAAATAAGGGCCAAAGAAGACAAAGGACACAGGCAACCAGCTCGGGGAATCCCTCTGCCCTCTGGAGTGAAGCCCTTCGGTTGTGTTTTCCAAAAGAGACAGAACAGATAACATCTTACACACTCGCAAAGTTGTGCACCGCGCCACAAACAAGTCCCTGATGGCTGGATCCAGCAAAGGCTTGATGGCCGCCAGGCCCCTGCCCGGCAGGCAGCCCCACAACTTCCCTGAAAGACACAGCTTCTGTCAGTCTAGGTGCTTGTCATCTCCCAGGAGCTTTGTGCATTTTCTCAAAGAGGAAGCCAGTCCAGGAGAGGCGAGGAGGCAGAAAGACGGCTGTGTCTCACGCAGCTTTGCCTTTTCCAGGACAGGGCCAGGCCTTTTAGTTTTGTGGCTTATTTTTTGCAGAATTGGGGTTTGCAGTTCAGCCTTCTTCACCAGACCAGGATGGGGGGGCAGAGGGAGAACTGTGCAGCTAGCTGTGCCTCCCCCCATGGTAGTCCTCTTTCTCCCTGTGCCCATGGACCTGGGGACCAGCAGAGAAGAAAAATGAAATCCTTCTCCCTGCAGACAGGCAGTCATGCTTCGATGATGTTCACCGAGGGCTTGTTTGGAAACTGGGAGGAAAAAAAAATGAGAGAAGCGGCCAGGGCTAAATTGAACAGACTTCTTGCAAGGATGGAAACAGGGAGAAGACACCAGAAGGAAGGGAGCAGCAGGGCTGCAGCCTAAAAGCCAGGCTCTTGTTCTCAGGTGGAAGGAAAGGAGGAGCCCTGCCTGGATGTCTTATCTCTCTGCCTCTCAAACCCAGCCTTCAGCTTCACTCAGCTGAGTGGCCAGGACTGGGTCCGGGGCCCTAGCCGAGCATCCCGCTGGCTGGTTCTCTCACATCCTGCAGATCTGCCTCTGAGCGTAGCCTCAGCCACTGACATTGCTGAGGTGCTTCTGGAGATGGTGGATTAATAAGAGGCTTCAGGAGAGCGCCAGAGAGAAGCCAAGAGAGAGGACAGTAAGCCAGAGGGTGTAAGGAGATGGAGGAAGGAGGAAATGTAGAGAGAGCCAGATGTTTGTTTGTTGGATAATCATCGTCAGAACCATGAGATTCTCTTCCGTTCTCTATGTCTCTCTTCTGAGCTGCTCAAAGCAAGCACTGAAAAGGTTTTCATATCTGTTTTACAGAAGAGGAAATGAAGGTACAAAGAGGTGAAGTACATGCCCAAGGTCATACAGCACAGCAGGAGCATGAATGAGCCCAGAACCCCTACTCTTGCTGTCCCGCACCTACTGGGAGCTCTGCCCTCCCCACTCACTGCCCTCTTTTTAAACCCCTACTGGCTCCTGGCACCCTGCAAAAGGAGAGGATCCAAAATCAATTTGCAGTGTCCCCTGTGTCACACGGGCAGCGGCCAAGCTTGGCTCTGTCCAGCTGCAGCCATGCCAGGCCCCATTGGTAGTCCCCAAGCTGACCCCTTCTGCAGCCCAGGGACTACCAGGGTGCCAGCCACGGGGCCCCCATCCAGGCCCAGGTTTTGCCCTCACCTTGCTGCGGAGAAGGCCCCCACTTTGGTGCTCTGGTGTGCTGGTTTCTGATGCGCTCTTGGTTTTTTCCTTGTTGTTATTGGGTTCATTGTCCTTGATAATGTCATACTGGCGGCAGAAGAGGGCGATGACGCCTGCAGGGGACAAAGGAGAGCAGTCAGAGGCCAGAGCCCCAGTCCTTGCCCCTCCACTTCATGCCCACTAGACCAGGCTGAGCTCCTGTGGGTACCGGGCTCCAGATGGCCTCTCACCATCTGGAGCCCAGTACTACTGCAAGAGGCTGCCTCTGGCCTCTGGCTTCTGCGTCCACCTGTCCCCTTCCCCACCAGCCCCTTCACTGCTGCTGGGCTGATCTTCTTACAACATGCTTCTGATCGTGTCTCCTCCCTTTCCTTCTTTTAAACCTCAGAGGGCTCCCCTTTCCTTTAGGGCAAAGAGAAACAACAGCATTTGTCTAGCATGTGCCAGGCCCTGTGCTGGGCCCTGACATTCCATCTCACTGAGCCCTCATAGCTCTCTGAGAGCACTGGTTATTACCATCCCCAGGTTACGAGGGAGGGCAGTGATGAAGAGCTTAGATAACCCACTCAAGGTCACACGGTGGAATGGGGGTGTGCACTCCAGGGCCTGCACTCTCCTAAATGTTTATCGCTATCAAACTAATATTTTTTGCAAGTCCTATAGTATTAAGGCAACCACCTCCAACTCTCGTAGGTGTTTTCCCCATTTTTACCTCTATGCTTGATTTATAGTGCTATTTCTTTTCTGTCTGCGCCACACGGCTCGCAGGATCTTAGTTCCCCGACCAGGGATTGAACCCGGGCCACAGCAGTGAAAGCCCAGAATCCTAACCACTAGGCAACAGGAAACTCTATAGTGCTATTACCTGATCTGTTTTAGAGATTATCTGTTGACGTCCCACCATGGCATATAGAGCCTAACCACTCCCTCTACTACCTTCCTCATCATCCTAGCAGAATTACCTCACAATTTCGAGTTAATTCACTATTCTATATTGTTACAATGATGTGAATACTGTCTGTTCCAAGTCTACTAATGCACCATAAGCAAACCTCCCCTTTTGTACAATCCTTTGTTTTTCCAGCTTTTTTTTCAAGTGTCTGCTTTTCTTTGTGTCTACGGAACCTATTTTTCCATATGCTTCTAAAACAGAGCCTGTTCTCTCAACCACGATGCTCATATAACTTCGACATGGTGTTTAATTCCCTCAAGAAGGACTCCAGTCCACTTGACAGCCTCAACGTCCTTTACCCCTCACTTTCTATCTTCTCTCTTGGGTCGTAGCTGCAGAGTCAGACTGAGCTTAATTTCCTTCTTGAACACACCATGCCCAGAATACCCTTCCTTTTTCGGCTGCCTGGTGAACTCCTACTCATCCTTCAAAGCTCAATCCCCATTTACCTCCTCTCTGTGTTTTTCTTGATTTCTACTCCTAGCCCCAGAATTAATTCATTCCCCGTCCTCTGCTCCCATACATGGTGCTATTATAGCACCCATCACGTTGAATTATTGTTAAGTACGGGCCTGGCGTCTCCCAGACTTCTTACAAGCACATGGCTCTTCTTAGTCACGACTGTAGCACTACTCTCTGGAATGGAGTGGCTGTTCAGTAAATTCTGGTTGAGTTGAGTACAAAGGTGATGGTCTTTATCCCCAGGGAGCTCACAGACAAGTGGGAAAAGAGAAAGACAGGAACCCAACTAACTTAGCTAAGAAGGGCTAAATTTAGAGAGGAGCACACAGGGTGCCGCGGGAGCATCGAGGCAGGAGAACATTCTAATGGATGGGTTGGGGAGGTTTCACGCAGGCGGTCTCCGAGTTGTGTCAAGAAGGATGAGTGGGTTAAGAGGGTGTCCCAAGCCTGAGCTGCCCAGGCCTGAAGCACCTGGAGGCACAGCAACCCGGAAGAATACGGAGAGGCTGCTGCAGCCAGGGCTGGAAGGCCAGGGGCTTTGGCCATTCATTAGGGAGGGCACTCACTCATATAATCCTACGAGGCAGCTACTGAACTGCTATTTTTTTGGTGAGAGGTCAGTTAGAGAAGGGATCCGATCTGGCCCCCAGAGCAGAACTTAGGCTCCTAAGTCCTCTCACTGCCTCCAAGCCCCTCACCCTTCGTTTCTGTGAGTAAAGGGTCTGGTGAGGGTCCTCCACTTCCCCGAGGTGAAGTGAAGAAGGGCTTGGGGCCAGACTCACCGGCCCACATGAACAGGACCACGACGATGATCAGCACCTCGCCCGTCCGCAGCTGTTGGTTCCTCCCCATCTCCTTCATGGTCACCTCATCTGTGTGGAGAGAGACACTATAGCTCCAGGACTCCCTGGGCCCCTGCCAGCCACATTTCTAGGGCCAAGTGCAAAATATTAAGGGCTTATTTCTACAGGTGCCCACACACCTAACAAAAAGAGATTCTAGAACATGCTGATGGCTACTTGGGTGGCACCGACTAGACTTAATCCAGAGCTGAAAGTTTGTATCCCATAGCTTGGGGGACCAGAGTGGGCCTCCCTCTCTCAGGGGCTGCTTGGCTAGGCAGCAGGGGCTGGGGGAGGATGGGGGGCTCACGCTCTCCTCCAGCCGCCTGCCGCGCTAGCCCTGACCGCCCCTCCCCGCACCCCCTCCCTTGCTAACGGTGGCCCGGGCCTGCCTTTGTTCTTCGAGGCCATCTTCTCAGCCTCCCGTGGCGTCTTAAAGAGCACGGGCTCGCTCGCCGGACTCTGGCCCTGAATGGAGATGGCCTGCACGTGCACGATGTACTCGGTGTCCTCCTCCAGGTCCCAGAGCGCGCACGAGCGGGTGGTGGTGTTCACCTCCTGGATGAAGCGCAGCATCCGCACGTCCTTCTTCTGTGGAGCAAAAGCCGGGCCCCAGGTTTCAGTGCCCAGGCCCCCACCCCACGTCTGTCCACCTCTCCGGCGGTGATAAGGCCTCACCTGGCTACCATGTTAAACCCCGGACATCCACAATCTGACTCAAGCATCCCATCACCTCTGCAGGTAGGTATTGATATTTCATTTTACAGGTAAGGAGACAGGTTCACAGAAGTTAGGGAAATTGCCCAAGGCCATACAACTAGCAAGAACTGGAGCAAGGTCCTAAACTCAGATCTGTTTAAGATCAAAATCATGCCCTTAATTCCCAGATTCCAACCAAAGGATTCCCTTCTGGGGCCTCCCTTCCCAGCCACGTGTGCAGCTTTCTGGCCATCTCTCTTGCTCCTCGTTCCTTTTTCCTTTCTCTTTCGGCACCCCTTCCTCCCCCGTCCACCACTTCTATCTTGATGTGTTCTTCCCTCCCAGGGACCCTCAAGGGTTACCTGCTGAGAGATGGCAAATCCAATGACGACCTCATCCTCCAGGACGTCCCAGCTCACCACTGCAGAGTTGGCCTTGAGGTGCCTGACGGTGACATTCACTGGGGCCGAGGGGCTATCTGGGGGTGGGGAGGCACCTGAGCCTGAGCACCCCCTGTCGTGAGGCCCAGGCCCATGGTCTCGTCAGTATGACAAGATAACCTGGGAATGGCCATGAGGTGGGAAGGAAGAAACCCAGGCCTTCCAGTGGGATTGGCACCTGGGTCTCAGTTCCTTAGTGGTTGAAGAGCCAGGCCTGAGAGGTCCCAGGCTCCTTGTAAACAGGGTGGGAACCCCTGCTGGCCACAACTGGCCCCACTAGGTTTCAAGCTAAAATTGATGAGCCCGGGCCAGGGCCAGGTCTAAAGGAGGAGGAATGAGAGGTGAGGAGACAGGCATGGGGGAGACATAGGTGGCCGGGCTGCAGGAGCTCAAGGTTAGTCTGGTGCAAAGCAATCAGAAGGCTCCCCAGTCCAGTGCTCTTTCTACAGAACTGCACTGTCAAGTGAGTGACCTTGAGGGAAGGAGAAAGACCCAGAGGTCGAGAAGAGCCTAGCTGGGTGAGCCCTGGGATGGGAGTGAGGACCAAGAAAAGAAGCCCCAGTACTGTGGAGACCCAGGCAGGATGAAGCCTGGGGAAAGGCCTCTTCTCCACACCCCTCCAGCCCCAAGAGGCAGGTGGGAAGGCGGCAGAGGAAGATGGGGTCACTCAGAGCACGGCCCCTCACTGGAGTCAAGAGAACAGGGTAGGGCCTCTTGGATGGGAGGAGAGGACAAAGGGGACCAGATGAGAGGAGGGTGATGAGGATGGTGGGGGTCAGGGAAGGAAGAACTTTCTAGGAGAGGGGCAGCGGACTCACACAGCTTCTGTATCCCCCAAGAGGCAGGCGCTTAAAGGGGAAGAAGACCTAAGCCTGAGCCTCACCCCTCACCTCATAGGTCTGGGGCCTGGGGAGACAAAGACAGACGTGGAGGCAGAGAGAGACAGAGGGTCACAGACAGGGGCAGCAGACACAGAACCAGAGAACAGAGACAGTGGGGTATCAGAGACAGACACAGGACAGAAGCAGGGAGACAGCACTGAGCAGCCAAGGAGAGCTGGGTCGGAGGAGAGATGAGCAAGGTGGCAGCAGCCAGAAGGGACGGGGACAGGGCGTCAGGAGGGGCGGGGTGAGGAGGAGGCCAGGCCCCAGGGGGCAGGCCAGACTCCAGGCTCGGGGTCCACCCCACCTGTCCCCGTGCCCTCGGGTGCCGGTCCCCATCCCCCTCACACAGTGGGACCCCATCCCGCTCGACCTGCAGAGTTGGCCTGCAGGGCTTTGGGTCAAGGAGGGAGGCCCAAGGTGGGGGGACCGGTGTCCTCAGCTGCTCCCTGGGCCAGAGAAAGGAGCTAGGGCTCCTGAAGGAAAGGCCTGGGGTCAGGGCAATGGGATGAGGGGGCTGGGGAATCCCAAGACCGTGGATCCCAGGGCAGTGGTGGTGGGAAGGGGTTTGAGAGCTGGAGGTCGGGTCTGGGGGTCAAGCAGGCAGGAAAGGGGCTGGGGCGTGGGGCGAGGGGAGCAGTGAGCGGGCCTGAGACGGGGTCCCCAGGGAGCAAGCAAGGGACCCGAGGATGCCCGCCCGCGCCCCGCGCCCGGACCCCCTTACCCGCCTGCACCAGCGCGAGGCAGACGCAGCCCAGCCACAGGCGGAGCGCGGCGCGGGGCGGCCCGGGGTGCATGGCGGCGGCTCCG